GAGGGGGAGAGGGAAGGGGCCAACATGGAAAACCAAAGCACAAGTACATGTTTAAAAGTTTTCCAATTTTCCTGACTCTGACGTTACCCTGACATGTGGTTTTGTAATACTGTTTCACAGAAGATAAGAGCATGGGCATTGCCAAAACAGTTTTCACTTCATACGACAGGACAAACAAGTCTAACCCGATGAACCAAGGCAGCGTTCTGGGCTGGCTCTCAGTGACGAAGTACAGGGCATGGAACATGTCCCAGTAACTCACGTGGGACAACTCTGTCATGTTTCTTACCTGCAGAGTCGTACTCTGGTCTGAGAAGGGAGAGCTGAAGAAGGTGGTAACGATACTCATCACAATTTCAGTAACGTACTTCTCCAAAATTGAGTCTGCGTGCTTCCTGTCACTGGTGTTGTTGCAGGCCTAGAAGACAAGTGAACACTTTAAACATGACACATAACCTATGCCAAACATTAAGAAATCCCATGATCCTTCCTGATTAACAACCTTAATAAATGAAAGGTCTGCTTGTTAGTGTCTATCCCCTTAAGAGAAAACCCTAGCAAAAAATAAATTCTGCGTAGTGGATAAAGAGACGTAAAGCCAGCTCAGAGAGCCTAGTGCAGAATCACAGAACATTAAGATTGATAGGGACTGACTAACTAAAGGCACTGCTTGCAACTCCTACCTGTATCCAGCAAGTCTAAAATCCTGAAGCGGACTGAGGGGCACAGTAACCACAAGTGTCTCCATTTCCACCGAAAAGTGAGCTGCCCTCCATTCTACTACTGTAAGCTATAACCAGGAGAGGCAAATACATCACTGAGGTCTGGCGTGTCTGACACTCCAGTCCCAAAACACTCTTCCGTTCAATAAAAGCTTTACTGAAATACTCTATTCCAAACAGCACTCCATGTTCATAATAACTGAAGAGCAGATTTTGAGATAAGAAAAACACCTTAAATTTCAGCTGTCCTCTATTTAATTTTGATGGTTAGAGAATACATTTTATTACCAAATTTATTAGTTCTATAATCTGAGATATAAAGTTGCTTACGCTAAAAAACAAAGTAAAGGAATAAAAATCTACTTTTATTAGAAGACCATGTACTAACCTTAATAGTGGGAGGTTTCAGAACACAGTCAAAAGACGAAATTAATAAATGCTTTATAGCATTTATGAACAATTTAATTAAAGGGTCAGCAAAGGGCCAGGGGCTATCTTTATAAATAACATTTTATTGGAAAAAAGTCACACACATTTATTGTATGGTCACGGCTGCTTTTGTGCGAAAAGCGCAGAATAGGGTGGTCAGAGCAGAGATGGGTGAGCCACAAAGGTAGCCATATTTACTGTCTGGTCTTTTAGAGAAAACTTCACAGAGTCCCGTTAAAGAAACAAAAAGGGCCTCCAATTCCATGCCCAAATATGAGATTAATGGGATTAACAAGCTAGGAGACATTGGAGACTTAAAAGAGATACATCTGTCCGTGAAACCCATACTAGAGCGCTATTAAGTGCTCATCCACTACAAGGAAATTTAGGCCCACACTATTATAGTCCTAGATTACAAGGAAATTAAGCCCTTTTTCTTTCTTTTTTTTTGAAAGTAAGTTCTTCCCCCTTTACTAGTAAGTATATATAGTTAAGTAGAAAAAAACCCCACACTGTAAATTTCCTCCATGTACCTTTTCTTATTTAAAATATTTCTGAAATTCAGATATATCTCATGATTATTGTCTGAAGAATTCTGCTACCCACGTCACTCCCCAGCACCACCACTACAAGACTCATATGAATCCCTCTGCAATGCTATTAGGGTTAGTCCTGGGGCCGAAGAATGCTGAACCAGTGCAAGGTCATGTAAGTGTCTTGGCGGTCGCCTTGGCTCTGGATTAGGAAAGCAATAGACAGAGGTGCTGTACCTTGCAGAATCCTCAAAACCAGAACTTAACAGACAAGATTCGTGGGCTCTGGGAGGTGTCCTCCGAGCACAGATACACTATAAAGGGAAAAACCTTACGAAGTTTATTTCAGTATATCCAGGCTCATTATTCACACATAAATCTGTGAAAGGTGAAATGAAAGCCAGAAACTGTGTTTCCTGAAGCTTGATAAGTAAAATCTGTCTTCAGCTAAGAGAAAAGGGCGGGAAGAAATGAGATGAACATAGGGAAGAGCCACAAATGCCTCCTTGTGCCACAAATTGCAGCAGAAATGATGTGACTATTACGTCAGACACACACACACACACACACACTCTCTCTCTCTCTCTCTTACTCTCTCTCTTTTCTCTCTCTCTCCCTCTCCCTCTGTCTCTTTCTAATTCAGTCTCCTTAGTTAAAGAAACCCCTTACCCTGCAGATGTCCACAAGGAAATTCTCGAACAGTTTCCACATGTGGTTGCTGGTATAGATCTCCTTCATTTCGACTTCAGTATCCACATAGCAGTGGTTCAGGAAGTTAATGTACGCTATTTTAACCTGCAAGGCAGAAACACAGCTTTTATGAAAAACCACCTGGAGCTCTGTGGAACTAATTAGCTGCATCGTTCAAAGCGAAGAGCATGGGTCAAGATGGTCATTCCACTTGTCTGTCAGCTTTCACTTCTGAGGCTTTTTCTTGACACATCAAATTTATAATTAGGCAAGTGTCTTCATGATCTAAAGGTAAAGTATGTTTCAAAAACTCTGACCATAGGAAAAAATCAAGCGTGACTATATTAAAATTAAGGATTTCATAGCCAGGCATAGTGGTGAACACCTGTAATTCCAGCATTTGGGAGGCTGAGGCAGGAGGACTGCTGAGTTTGAGGCCAGCCTGGATTACATAGTGAGTTCAAGGCCAACCTAAGCTACATCACAAGACCCTGTCTCAAAAAACCAACCCCCGCAAAAGAAGAATTTCTCCTCATGAGAAGGTACTGTTAAAAGAGTCTAGTGGCAGAAGACGGGAGACGTTTAAACTTCCCTATCTCAAATTTAAACTTTCCTGCAAGGTCAACATTGAACCTGATCTTTGAATTCGATTCAGTTCTCACCCAGTTTGGTTTGCAACCAGAATTACGGGAAGAATTAAGTTCATGAACCGAGGTACCACTGCATAACTACACCGTTTCTTTCTGATCCCTAACAGAAAAGCAAGTAAGAACTGGTGAAAGGTATTACATATACGAGAATCTCAAAGCATGATAATATACTGGGAGGGAAAGTCTGAGAAAAATACAACCTCATTTTTCTTCTTGTAATTATTATTATTATTATCTCATTAAATTATAAATTAGTTTAACCCTCACTGAGGACAATTATGGTTCCTGGATATAATGAAGTTTTATACAACTCTAACAACAACTCTGGAATATATGGACTGATTTGAGAAGGAGTTACAATACAGAGGAGCATACCCAGAATGTCACCTTTTGGGGAGATAAAGATTACACAGTATATGTTTATATGCAAAACACTAGAAAGATAAATGAAAATATAATAAATTATTTTCTATGTGATGGGTGGAGGGAACACAGCAGAAGACTTTATGGTTTATCTCTTTTTAGTTTCTGGTATTTGAACTTTTCAAAATGTATTAACTTTGCAAAAAGATCTAAAAACATAATACTGTAGTATACATTTAATATGTACTACATGTGCTCTACATGTAGTTTATTTAAAATATAAACTAAATATAAATTTTTAAATATACAAGAAGGAAGTATACATCGTATGATCTAATTTTTTGGTACCAATATATATGAATGGAAAAAAAGGAAGTCTAAAAAGTTTAACTTCAAACTTTAATAGGTTCTCTTGATGGGTGGTGGGATAGAGGCTGTTTCTATTTTCTTATTGATTATATGTAGTTCCTTTTTTCTTCTTCTTCTTTTGAGACAGGGCCTCACTATATATTTCAGGCTGGTGTTGAATGCAATATATAAGCCAACATGGCCTTGAATTTGAGGCTCTCCTCCTGCCTCAGCCTCCTGAGTGCTGGGATTACAGGGCTGTGCCACCACACCTGGCTTCTAAATTTTATATAATAGTCATTATTTTTGTAATAAGTGCTTTTGTTTTAAAGAAGTAACTTACAGTGTGTTCCACTCATATGATCTGTCTCTAAACTGACTCTTAACCTTATTTTTGAGAAGTCCATTCAGGTCACATTTTCTTTGTTCAGTAAGTTAGCTGAATTAGTCCCACATGCTGAAGTCTATTTCTCCACTCCTCTTAAGGAAGCAGAAAACGACCAACACCCCAGCCATGTTCCTTCATAAAATCATGTTCACATAAAATCCATGATTAGGAAAATGCTGCTCCAGCAAAATGAAACAAACCCCTCCCCAGAAGGAGCAGCAATTCTCAACATCCAGAGGGCAAGTCACCATGGTGCCTCTCACAAACTCACAGTCCCATAGACTGCAGGGATGCAGGCGAGAGGGCACACCCAGCGCCAGGCTGGCTTACCTCAGGGATGCAGTCCTCGTGGGTGACCACACGGACAATGTCATCCAGCGGGAGCAGAGAGTTGCATTTGATCTCCGTATAGACGTTCTTGCCCTCAGTACACACGGCCAAGAGCTCCACCAGGTGGATGTGGTACATGAGGGGGCTGTTCTCGTCCATCCGGTCTCGCTCTGACCGCATCATCTGGATGAGAGTCTGGAAAGAGGCTCTGTCATTGTAGAACACAAGGACATCTTCTCCTGAATTCACCAGCTACGGAAAGAACAGAGCACATTTATGTCACAAGCCTGCAGGTGTGGGACAACCTTACAATATCCTATTTGCGAAGAGAGAGATCCTCTTTGGATTTCCCTTCCCAAAGCAGTCTTACTTACATTACTAAGCTCATCTGGATTTCATCCATTTATGACTTACCAACTAAAACTCTTCAGCAGCATCATTTCAATCCATGAAAACAGAAATACCACGGTGAGCCCTAAAAACTATTACAGCAGCACATGGCCTGCATACCAGCATTTATACATCAAGTGACAATACAGATTGCAAGCTTGCACTTGTACCTCCTAACTCAATAATTGGGCTCTGATTTTTCTACTTTAAATGCTTCTGCTTTCTTCTTATGTTTTACAAAGTACCCCTTTATAAGTCTTTCATCCAATCTCCTTATAAAGTATTTCTTTACGTCTTATCTCTTCAGTCACAAATTACACACTTCTAATTAAAATATGCCTTTCCTTCAACACTTATCAAAAAGTCAAGGCATTTCTATTCATAATTTATCCCCTAGGTGAGAAGGGCACACCCAGCGCCAGGCTGGCTTACCTCAGGGATGCAGTCCTCGCTCAGAAGTCTGTTTAATAATGGATCAATTTCAGCACTACGTGAAATATAAAGCATCCCAAAAGTTTTGGCACAGAAGTTAAAATAATATAGCCCATATTATTTACTTATTAACAACATTTATGAGCTCCAGTTATGTGCCAGATACCAAGATAAATTCTTTAGATAGATCGCCAGATCTCATTGTATCTTGGTTTCTTCATACATAAAAAGGAGGACAAGTACAGCATCTGGTTCAAAGCATGTTCATGTAGAATTATTATTATATATAAGTTGCTGAGAACAGTGTCCAGAGAGTGGTAGGCTTCCAGTGAATATTAGCTATTATGTTCACTGTCATTTCATTTAGTCTACATATTAATTCCTTAAAGTAGACACTGCCACACCCTCACTTTACAAGGATGCTCACTACAAGCTTGAGATGTCATGTCAAACAATCCAAGTCCCACAGCCAGAAAAGCACTATGGCTAGGATTTGTATCCTAGGCCAAGGCAATTCTTAGTCACACTATCCTACTGCCCCTAGGATCATAGCAAGAGATGGGACTACAAAGCCAAGTGTTAGGTGAGTTTGTTCAAAATTTCATTTTTTAAAAGGCCAAAGTGGCAAACATACGTGGAAGCCATAGTCACATGTTTGGCAAAGGGGGCCTTTCTGATCAGAGACAGTATCCACAAGGAGCAGACTACCCATAAAGACCAAACAAAACTGTTCCTTGATTCCACAGACCAGCTGTTCCCCATGATTCATCAAGCAAAAACTTTTCAAGTAACTGGTTAAGGTGAAATTAAGGAAAAAGTCAGAATCCACATAAAGGGAAGTTGTGGCTTTTTGGGTCCCAACTACATTCAGTATTTACTCACTACGTTTTGGTTCATTTTCCTCTTTATCTGCCTTCCAGAAGAATCCAAGCCAAGGCTCCTCAGAGCTGACAGATTTGGGGCAATGAAAAATCAGGTAGGACTCTTCCTCAAGCTCACAAACATGCAATCTCTCTCTTTCCCCCTCTTCCCCACTGCCCACCAATTACATTCTGCCCTTCCCGATGGCTCCTGAAGAGGGTGCCAGTTCATACAAATAATATTAAATATAGTAATTCTGAAATTTCTACAGGCCACCAGGTAGAAATATATAGAAATACAGAACAATCACCTCAGCCATGACCATGTCTTGGCATTTTTTAATAAATTTCCCTTCTGCTTTGACAATTGTCTGCAAGAACTTTATGTACTGGACATTTCGACCGTGGGTCTCTATGCAGTGAACAAAGTGCTGGACAACTCTCTCGTTGATCTCGCTGCAGAGCTGGAAATTGTTCATAAAGATGTGCTGCATTGTGACTGCCTCTAGGATCTGGCAGGAGGTAAGGACAGGAGCACAGGGAAATGGTGAAAAGTGAGCAAAAAGGTGACTCCACTGAAAACATACACAGAAAGAAGCATTTAAACCCCTGAAGACCTGCTTCTCATTCTCATCTCTGTAATGGCTTCTTTTTTAGCAAACTTTCTCAGTGACGTGTAACAAACACACAGAACAATAAACAAATCAAGAGTATTCAACTAAACAGACTGCAAAACAAACATCAGCAGTCAGATCAAGACACAAAACAGGCCTTCTTAATACCCCAACCCATAATTTAACTTCTTTCTTGCCTACCCCTGAGCCCCATGTCCTCTTCTTCACCAATATGTATGTTTCACTGCATACATATGCAATAATATACTGATCTATTCTATTGCTGATGGTACCTGTGTGAGTACTCAGTTCTAATATTTCACCAGTATCACTACTAATTCTGCTCTGAACATTTTTGTCTACGTCTTCTGGTAAACCTAGTATCTGTATTGCCATTGGGTTTAGACCCTAGAACACAACTGCTGAGCCACAGTATGTGTGCCTTTAAGATGCTGTCAAACAGCTTTTGAAAGATGTTAACAGTTCTCATTCTACAGTACAGCTATTCCATATACTTGCTGAAACATAGTATGTTCAGTCTTTTTAATTTCAGTAATATCTTACTGTGAACAGACAAGTCAGTTTTATTTGTCCAATAACTTTTCATGTTGAACACTTTATCACACTTATTGGCCATAGGGTCTTCTCCATTAGGCAGAGACAATTCAAATTTCTAGCCCATTTTTATGAGTAGGTTGTCTTTTCTCTCAATGATTTTTTGAATATGTTATATATTCTGAGTATGAGTTCTATGTTTAACACATGCAATAAAAATGTCTTCCATTATCTGTCTTGTCTTGAGAAGCTCTTAATGGTGACATCTGATGAACAGCTTTTTTTTTTTTTTTTTTTTTTTTTTTGTCTTTTATAGGTCTCGTTATACAGTTCAAGCTGGCCTTGAGCTCTCTTTGTAGCCCAGGCTGGCCTCAAACTCCCAACAATCCTTCTGCCTCAGCCTCCCGAGTGCTGAGATTACAGGTGTGCTCCAACACACCCAGCCAGAATTCTAATAAAGTCCAATTTACCAGTATTTTCCCTTTTAATTAGTGCTCTTTGCATGATGTGCAAGAAAATTTTGCTTACACGTGGCCATAAAGATATTCTTATGATATCTTTTAGAACTTTATTTTTCACTTTTTACCTAGAGTTATTCAGTTTTAGGTTTGGTATAGATGGGACCTTCATTTTTTTTATCTGCTCCCTTTTCTCTTTCTTAACATGATAAAAAGGTAATATTATCCTACAACTCAGTAGCCCTTTTCTTCTGGAAAACTCAAGCACTACTGAGTTTGTATGTGTAACTGTGTGTGTGTGTGTGTGTGTGTGTGTGTGTGTGCGCTTTACAGTATTATTTACAAAGCCCAAAACTAGACCTTGCCTAATAATCCATTAATATGGAAATGGTTTTCAAAAAGTTACAGCCATGGGGCTGGGGATTTAGCTCAGCGGCAAAGCGCCTGCCTGGCAAGTGCAAGGTCATGAGTTCAGTTCCCGGTACCGGAGAAAAACAAAAACAAACAAACAAACAAAAAAAAAGTTACAGCCATTTTATGAAATAACATTTAAAAAAAAAAAAAAAGAAATAACATTTAGCCACCAAAAAAGAATTAGATAAAATTTATGTATCTTGGATTTGCAAAGGCAGCCATAATATATTAAATGAAAAAAAGTCAAAATGCAAGGCAATGTGTAAAGGATGGCATCATTTTTTAAAGAAAAATATGACACACATTTTATACATTTAAATATGTATTTAACAAACTAAAGTGTAACACAGATTGTCTTATGTGGCTATATCATGTATTTGGCTGCATACGAAGAGCTAGTACTCCTATACTGCTAACTCTGTTACACTAAAGGATGTTATTAAGAAAAAAAAAAGATGTATCTTATTTTTCTCTCATTACTTTCCTCTCTTCTTGCCCCATCCATCTTATTCCTCGTAATATGGGGAGTATTTATGTCCTGCTGACAGCTGGTCACAACGTTCCTCTTTGGAATGAAGGCTGCATTACAACAAGTCCCAGAAACCACAACAGCAAAGAACAAACTGTTCCCTGCCCTCCTCCCGCTCCAGGTTTATACAGCCTCAAACCTTACCCCTGGGTTGAGAAACAGGTTTATGTGCTTATGCAGCAAAGCTTGATTCTGCTGGTTGCCTGCACAGAAATTCTGCAAAAATTCATGAGCCAGTCTCATAATTTCCTGCATCTTGGTGTCTTCGGCCTGTGTGGGAGGAAAGAGATGAAAGGCACTGATTGCGAGGCCAGGATGCCAGCTTCTGCTGCACCCCAGCACCTCTTACCGAGGTGGAATGCAGGGAGCGTGTGCCCAGTTCCCGCTGTGGGTAAATACTGAGGCTGTGCGTTTCCATTCTAAGAACAGAGAGACTTATTTATGCCTCATCTAATGGATTATCTCCCATCAGCCCTGGGCACAAACAAAAAGATTTTATTCAGGAAGAACGCCAGAGTGTAAAACTTAATGGAATGTTTCTGGGATTCAACTGGCTAGCAAGGGCTGAGACTTTTGAAACCCCACTTCTGAGAGCAGGGCTGACGGGCCCGCCAAGCCAACCTCCTTCCTGGTGGCGAGTTCCCACATTCGTGCCCAGGGCACACGTTTTTCAGTTCCCCCAACCTACGGATTGGGCCATGAACTTCTAGCAGTAAGTAACAAGGTAGAATGAAAATGTCTCTGAGTTATAAAAGAGGGCACACTGCACTTGCCTTAAATCCCTTCCTTGTCATCTCAGGCACATGTTTAAACCTAAGAATTAGCTTTCTCTTCTGCAAAATGGGGACAATATACAGTATCTAACCTGGGCATCCCATAGAATTATGTGTCCACACACACAATATTATGTAATTCTCATTTCACATATTATAATTAATGGATGTTTGTTTGTTAATATGTTTTCCTTCTTTTATTTTTAAATTTTTTTAAAAAAAACTGTAATTCTTTAGTATTTGTAGATTTAAATAACCTGTCATTGGACTATTACATAAAACCTACCACAACTCTAAATAAACACGTAAAATAGTAAAAACAGAATGAGAATCCAATAATAGCGAACGTTGGGGGGCTACGGCGGCGGGGAGGGACCCTGCCTACACTGTTGATGGGTATATACACTAGCAAAACCCCTGAGAATCAGTATGGAGATTCCTCCAAAAACTAAAGCTAGAAATTCAATTTGACCTAGGTATTCTCCTTCTAGGATCTTCCCAAAAGAGTTAAGGACATCATACGATAGTGATCCACGCATGCCCATGTTTACAGCAGCACAATTCATAACAGCTAAATCTTGGAAGTGGCCTGTATGTCCATCAACTGATGAATGGATAAAGAAAGTATGGTATTTATACACAATGGAGAGCGACTCTGCCATGGAGGAGAATAAAACTGACTCATTTTTAGTAAAATCAAGAGCAAAGTAAAAGACAGATAATGGGAAGTAGAGAGATCTTTCTCAAATGGGAAGGGGTGATCAGGAGATAGATGAAAGGGAAGGAAGAGAAAGGGAATAAAAAAGGAATTAAGACGTGTTATATACACGAACCAGCCACATATAAGGAATGTAAAACACTGTATACTATAATCATATACTAACAAAGAAAATGACAAAAAAATGAGAATCCCTACAATAGAAATCATCCTTCACATTTCCTCAGCCCCTAAGTCTTCCTAAAGCATCACACACCCATCCCCTCATCTCACAGGCAGGAGAGTGTGGCAGACGGGAACACAAGCCCTGCAACTAACCACCTTGCCATTACCCCAGATGGACAACTTCCTAGCTGTGTGCTTGGGAGGCTAAGTTACGTAGCCTCTCAATGCTTCTGTTTCCTCATCTTTGAAAAATGGACACTGTAAGAGTATACAGTATTATAAAGAGTAAATGAGAAAATTAATTTAGTCAGTGATTAGTCAGTAAATCTTAGCTATCAGTTGGCTCTGGTCTAGACTGATGTCAGCAAAGTTTTCCTTAAAGGACGAGACAGAAATATTGCCTTGACTGTACCAGGTCAAGAAATGAACATGATCAGGTACTTATACAACTAATTCAAAATAGAACAACCACTCCGATGCTGGACAAAAACAGGGAAGGTGGGATCTTATGCTGGACAAAAAAGGAAAGGTAGGATTTTGCCCATATTTACAGTTGCCAGCCTCTGGCCTAAAAAGTAACCTTGTGAGAAAAGAGCCCATACTTATCAGGAACAGGTAACAGGAGGAACTGGAGCTACGGCTTTGATAATCAAAAACAAGAAAATGACAGAGAACTTTTTAAAATTCACTTTATGGAAAATGTAAAACAAAATTTCACAACAAGAAAGAGGAGAATAATAATAGCTAATATATTACATGTTGTTATCTTTAAAGTAGTTGCTCAGGGTAGAAGATATTGGCATAAAAATTTCTCCAATCGATATTAGCACAAATCTTCCTTTATAATGAACTAAGAGACACTAAGACTACAACTGACTTGCATTTTTTCCCTTTTCCCTACTGGCCTTTCCCCTTTTACCCATCCTAGTTCCTTTTTCCTTTTGAATGGTTTCTTCCCATTTCACAATATCTATTGTACATTTTAGAATTTTATTTATTCTTTCAGAGTAACAAAGAACTTTAATTCCAAGTCCCAATATGAAAAAAATAAGTATTACATCTGTCTCTTATTACCAGGGCAGAAAGTGGCCAACCTTCTAAGCTGTGAACTCAGAGGGCTTGGGATGCACAGCTACTGCTGGCTGGCGGCAGTGACCTTAAATTGTCCCGCATGTTTATATTTCTTCTACTAAAACACAAAGCTTCCGGTGCTCAAGGGCACTCGAGAGCCTTTGGGGTTTGAAGTGGACGTTTACAAGGCAAGCAAGCTTTGAAGACATCATACTACAAGGTTTACTTGTCGGTGGAATCCCTCCACTACTGTTCTCACACACTGGGATGTGTGTGCGCACCCAGAAGTCAGCACACATATGTGCACATGCGCGCTCATGCATGCGCGTGCACGCGCACGCGCACACACACACAATTTTATTTTCCCTTTGTGCTACCCATTCCAACCCAATCTGCCTGCATGTAGAGTAATACGGCTCTATGACTGCCTTTTGCTATTAAGAAAACCGATGATATCAAGAGACCAAGCTATGGTCAGCAAACTGTCTTCTTACACTATTTTCTTTCAGTATTCAGGATTGAACCAGGGCCCTCTGTTATGGGGTAGGTGACTAAGTTAT